AGTGCGGCGAAGAGTTGCATAGTATTTGCAATATCTTTCAACAATTTAAAGTTGATTTCTCACTCCAGATTGTAACGTTAAGTCCGTAATAATATTCCATTCGCGAAAAATTAATTTGAAAACGTCTCATCAACAACTAACGCCATGTTGATTACGAATGTAAATGAAGCCATGGTAGAACGTTTTTTCCCGGAATGCATTATATACCGTTCGATTTTCAAAACAATTAGACCGCTAAAATGCTGTTTATGACTTAGTTACACCTATGTTAAAATTAAAGAAAAACCTTGTAAAGCTTGAATGCAAATGAGCAAATATTCATTGAGTTTAGAATAAATTCCGGGGAAAATTTGTCCCGTCGTTCCCGCTTTACAATTGTAAAGGGCCCAAGCTGATGTCGAGTAAAAAAATTATTTAATTTGGGAATTGATTTCAGAATATCTCAGAATTTAAAAGGAATTACGGAATGAATTTGGTAGTAATGAAGATTATTTATTTTTGCATAAGCTCTTTGGTCTCTGACCAGTAAAGAGCTAAAAAAAAAACCATGCTAAAAGCATGCTTGCTGTTGTACCTGAAATCTGATTCATGAACCAGTACATCGTGAAACACAGGCATGGGGATATATACTTTTCGCGTCTTTAGAAATTCGAAGGGCCCGATTCCTTGTTTTGTTTAGGTACTAGTAGATCACTTCACCTTTTGCATTAGATAAAATTGGTTTACAGATTGTTCTTCTGGACTGTTTGGACATAATTGCTCACAGCCTTGTCCTAACGGTAAATTTGGGCTTGGGTGTCAGAACAGCTGCCTGGAGTGTGCACAAGGATGTGATCCTGAGTATGGATGTATTTCGAATAATGGTTTGTGTAAAGCTCGATTTTTAAATTTTCATATAAAAATTGTACAGCATACAATTTATCTGCACCAATAACCTTTAAATACGAAGGTTCTGTTATTTTTTTATGCAATAGTTTTAATGTTTATTCTCAAACTAACTAACAATAAGAGATATTTCATTATTTACTCTATTAATAAAATAAATCATCGAACGAAAGATAACGGAGACTGAATATTATATTGAATTTTTGATATGCAAGTCACTGTACGCTTCTGTGATGAAAGAGCCTCTGCTCAAGAAATATGTTAAGATGTATAATTAGCGATGTTTAATGATTAATGAATCTAAATTTACGGAAATTTAGAATATTTCACAAACGCAAACATCTCTAAAACGAATTAGAGGCACCCTTCCTTCCTGTTATGTACAATGCATTTTTTTTCATGGCTTGTATATTTCACTGTAAAAATGTCAAAGTGAACATGTTCCTCTTTTGAATCTGCAAAATAAATTCTCTCATAGAGACTAATAGTATTGGCTTTGACCAACCACCACCATCTCTGTGGATTTCCTCCTTCCTTGTTACAGGGAGTCTCTTGTTTTTATGTATTTTTATTGCAATCTTCAGAAGAAGGTAGGTGTATTTATAACCTACATTTTACATATCATTAATGAAAATAACATATATAGCAGTAAAGATACAATTTCAGAATCAATTTCGATTCTTTTGGCTAAACATGTACTTGCTTTCATATCTCGTGCATTTTAGTGTTGAAATATTACCAGGTATTCGCCCAAAATTAAGTCATAAATTGTATATTTATATATTTTTCAGAAAAGTTTCAAGGACAAAAAAGGACAACTCCTGCAAAACAAGTTCATCACTAAGCGGTGCAGTAATTTATTTATGTTCTCCTTTTTTCCCTAAGTAGCAACACATGCGAAATTGTAAAATCAATTGGGATCAAATGCCTTGGAGGAGTATTTAGCATCCCCTGTCGACCGAACACACCCTAAAAAATGAACAAACGTCCATTGAAACGTAATTATTTTTGTAAACAAGAGATGAGCTCTGTTATGTTTTGCAGGGTGTGTTCAAATTTCGTACTCTCTGCACAACAATACGAAGAAACTTATTGTGTATACAACAATTCTTGAAATAAAACAGCATATATGCCATTCATATGTACGATTACTATAATAGCAATTTTTTGATTTTTAGCTCTACTGGTCAGAGACCAGAAGAGCTTATGCGATGGTAATGCGTCCGTCGTCCGTCCGTCTGTCTGTCTGTCTGTCTGTCCGTCTGTAAACAATTTTTCAAAATGCTACTCCTCCTACAGTTTTGGGTTATTTCAATATAACTTGGCACACAAGTGACTACACTAAGATACATAATTCTGTGTATCGGTTTTTGATTTCGATGAACGGTGTTGCCGTGGTTACTAAAAATAGAAATTTCTGTGAAATTCTTTAAAAAGCTACTCCTCCTACAGTTTTGGTCTGATTTCAATATAACTTGGCACACAAGTAGACTACACTACGATACATAATTCTGTGTATCGGTTTTTATTTCGATGAACGGTGTTGCCGTGGGTTTTAAAAATAGAAATTTCTGTGAAATTCTTTCAAAATGCTAATCCTCCTACAGTTTTGGTCTGATTTCAATATAACTTGGCAAACAAGTAGACTTCATAAGATACATAATTCTGTGTATCCGTTTTTGATTTCGATGAACGGTGTTGCCGTGGTTACTAAAACTAGAAATTTCTGTGAAATTCTTTCAAAATGCTACTCCTCCTACAGTTTTGTTATTTAAAATTTAAATTGGCACACAAGTAGACTACACTAAGATACATAATTCTGTATATCGGTTTTTGATTTCGATGAACGGTGTTGCAGTGGTTACTAAAAATAGAAATTTCTGTGAAATTCTTTCAAAATGCTACTCCTCCTACAGTTTTGGTCTGATTTCAAAGTAACTTGGCACACAAGTAGACTACACTAAGATACATAATTCTGTGTATCGGTTTTTGATTTCGATGAACGGTGTTTGTGGTTACTAAAAATAGAAATTTCTGTGAAATTCTTTCAAAATGCTACTCCTCCTACAGTTTGGTCTGATTTCAATATAATTGGCACACAAGTAGGCTACACTAAGATACATAATTCTGTGTATCGGTTTTTGATTTCGATGAACGGTGTTGCCGTGGTTACTAAAACTAGAAATTTCTGTGAAATTCTTTCAAAATGCTACTCCTCCTACAGTTTTGGTCTGATTTCAAAGTAACTTGGCACACAAGTAGACTACACTAAGATACATAATTCTGTATATCGGTTTTTGATTTCGATGAACGGTGTTGCAGCGGTTACTAAAAATAGAAATTTCTGTGAAATTCTTTCAAAATGCTACTCCTCCTACAGTTTTGGTCTGATTTCAAAGTAACTTGGCACACAAGTAGACTACACTAAGATACATAATTCTGTGTATCGGTTTTTGATTTCGATGAACGGTGTTGCTGTGGTTACTAAAAATGAAATTTCTGTGAAATTCTTTCAAAATGCTACTCCTCCTACAGTTTGGTCTGATTTCAATATAACTTGGCACACAAGTAGGCTACACTAAGATAATAATTCTGTGTATCGGTTTTTGATTTCGATGAACGGTGTTGCCTTTATTAAAAATAGAAATTTCTGTTAAATACTCTCAAAATGCTACTCCAAATAACAGTTTTAGTCTGGTTATAATATAATGTGGCATGCAAGTAGACTACACTAAGAACATAAAGAATTAATCAAGGATCATTATTCTATTTATTGCTTTGAAAAGCAATTTCCAATGTTTAAAGTCTTTTCTCTTCCTTTGCTATAAGTACAAACCAGTAGAGCTTCAGTCTCACAGAGATTTCTGGTTTTTTTTTTGGGAACGACTTTTTTACCTGCTAAATATATAAACGCCTTACGGGTTTATATTATATAAACAAGAGGGCCCCTGGGCCTTATGGTACCTAGTATCATGTAACAACTTTCCGGCAATTGAATTGGATTTGTTTTAAACCTGAGCTAGGCCATGAAATTCACATTTTTGAAAGAAGCACCATTGCTTATCATAACTATACATTTAGCATGTTTACTTTGGTTGCTTAATACCAAGAAGTAGATCAGAGTTACAAAGAGAAAATGCATTTCCACTTAATCAATAGTGCACCCCATCCCACAGGTTCCACTGACCCTGGGGCCACACCTTCAAAATTTTGGAAATTTTATTTCATCATGTTGTTGATTAATACATATGTCCAAAATGCAGATTTCAAAGCATTAAATTTTTTCAGAACTATCCCCCCCCCCCCTCCAAGTACCTCTGCCCCCGGGGGGGAAAATTAACCATTTTGGAAAAAGCAGCTTTTTTCGTCATAAATATGTACTAAGATCATTGGCTTAATACCCAGGAGAAAAGGGAAAGATTTTCAAAGAATTCATGCATTTTCACTATATAAACTGAGCCCTCCCTAACACAAGAAGTCCTGACCCAGGGGCCTGAAATTCACAGATCTCAAAGAGGCATCCTTCCTCCTCTTAACTATGTATATAGTTCATTGGTTAATACCCAGGTCAAAAAGAAGATTTCTAAAGAATTTATGATTGATTGATTGATTGTATATTGTTTAACGTCCCCCTCGAGAATTTTTCACTCATATGAAGACGTCACCGTATCCCGGTGAAGGGCTTCAAATTTTGACCTTTACTCGGCACTCAGGGCCATTGGCGTGAGGGATTTTTGTCCAACGCCAGCCGCTGACACGGGGCCTCGGTTTTTAAGGTTCCCTCCCAAGGACCCGCAACTTTCACTTCAAAGTGCCGAGCCATGGCGAAGGAACAGTTGCTCCCCTTTTAACGACAGGTCGGTCGTGGCCGAGATGCGAACTCACGACCTCCCCATAGGGGCGACGCTTACCGACTGAGCTACCGTGAACGGTAAAGAATTTATAGAGCAATCTGTGTGACGTCAACGTTTTGCGCGTGGATTCTGTCAGATTTTGGGGGCTGGTACAGTAAAGTCTACAACAGTACTTTCATGTACAAAACATTCCGAACTCAAGCTATCTAATTAAAAAAAATGTTAGATCCGCTTATACTCGCTACACTAACGTTAGTGTATTGAGTATGCTATGGAGCGGGGTTTAAAATTTAATTTTAATTAGACTGGAACTAAAGTAGCCTATATGCCATTCCCATACATGATTACTCAAACAGCAATTTATTGATCGATTTTTTTTTTCACTCAAATTTTACTCAAAACACATATTTTTTAATGGTTTCTCTAAATATATGTTACGATTTCAGCTCTTTTTTGAAAATTTTACCATCTTGTACGTCTAGCTATGCCATGTATGAGCATAGACAAACGTGAATCCTGCATTCACAGTACATGTAGAATGAAATGGAAATACATTTGAAATTGTTCAAAACATTTTTCATCAAATTCATCTAAATATTTCCTGTTTGCAGATAGTGCAATGAACCAAACAGGAACTGTAATTGTAAGTAAGCTACCAAATACACCATCACAAAACGAGAAAATGGGAAAAATAGCCAACTTTATTCTACAATTTCTAATGAAGCCGAGGGACTTTTACACTCCAACAGAATTTATTATTCAAGAAGGGTTTCATCTTGTAAAACATCAAAGATGTTGAATAATGAGGAAAATCCATTTGAAATCGATGAAAAATATTTAATGGTGAATACAGCGTCTGTGGATCCATTTCCGACACAAGCTTCCCCCCCTCTGTACCGTTTGTTCCTGATGAATATAATGCATATTTTATCCTGGAAAAATCAGAAACTGTTACAAATGCTCCTGAAGGCATTTGAAATACAAAGAAACCGCCACATCAACGTTTTCGAAAACTAAAAATTGTTGCTTTCACACAAAGTGTGGAAAACTATATACAGAGTCTGCAGAATATGTAAATTTTTGTACTTATATTCTACATGAAAATGTATATTATTTCTTTTATTTTATTTGTTAAACCTTTTCCCATTTATTTTGGTTGTTTGTATATTGTCTTGCGTCCTTCTGGAGAGAATTTTTTACTCCTATGGAGACGCCACCACTTGCTGCAAATTTTTTCCTATACTCGGTACTTTGGATTGACCAATGAGGGATCTTTTTCCTGCCAGCATCTACTGAGACACGGGAACTCGGTTTATATGGTCTCATCCGAATGCTCGTTTTCCCGTCCCCCCGTGGGATTCGAACCCACGACGTTATGATCAACTACTTACTTCGCGACTCTGTGCAGACGCTCTAATATTTCAAGTTGCATTTATAATAAAAATCATTTCATAGCTAGATGTTCAAGATAGTAAAATTTTCAAAAAGAGGGACGTTAAACAGTACACAATCATTCAATCAATCTTCTGCGTATCAATATTATCATGCTATTTGGTTATGCCATGCGATCACGTGCTAAACTCTACTGTAGATTTTATCACATGCCATCTTCAGATTCCTGTCCTTTCCTAATGAAATTGAATATCATCTTTAATTCTTAAAAATATCAGCCATGGGGCACCGCCAAAGCATATTTTCTCTACAAACTTTCTGCGCATTATTCCATCAATACAATGACATACATAAATATTCCACGTACTTAATCCTAATTTACACATTTATTTGTAAAGATTAAATATATGGAGATAACGAACAGTATTCAAGCTCAAAAGTCCATTGAACACTACAAATTATAGCAGAGCAAACCGGGGCCTCTGAATCATTCGATGTGGGATCAGTTGCCATGGAGGAGTGAGCATTCCCTGCCGACCGGTCCCCCCCGCCATGTACTCCTTGTCATAATCGGGAAATAATGAAAAAATCCGACTTAATGAATTGTATTTGCTGACAGGATCAATGTATCGACCAAAGAAATTACGAAATGATGACTTTAAACGAGGCTGTTGATATTCTTTTTTCAGCAACTTGTTTGTCAATAGTTTACCTCGTTTTAGAAATTTTCCATACGTAAAGCATACTCTAGTATATAGATTCAATTGAGAGATATAAACCCCGTATGCAGGTGATGGTATATTACTGCATAATTGAGGGAAAGTAAAAGTCATCACGTTTATCATTAAGCTTGATTGTTGAATAACCCGTAACGTCTTTTTCAATATCTAAATATGAAACAGATGTGTCAGACTCTGTGGTGGATGTGCCAAGACTCGGGGGATCCTTTATTTCATATAAATAGTAACAAAATATGTCTGTCTTTCTTTGTTAGTATGGAAATTAACATTGCAGCTATTGCCGAATAATTACATCTTTTAATAGCATTTCACTATTTTCGATATTTTGAAGTCAAACAATACGCATCTATTTTCGTATATTGTCATTGCTGTGATGTCAGTCCGTTGTCCTTAAGTCTAAGAAAAATACATATGGCAGTCCCATACTAGTAAGCAGTATATTGTTAAGTGAATATCAGACTGCCTTAGGTTTGATATCCTCCAAAGACCAAGGTTAACCCTCGGCCTTTTTTGGCCCTGTTAATTTCTGAAAAATCAGAACTGCTAATCTCAGCGAGATGGGTAGGTCTAAAATTTTGGTCTGACGTCAACTACCCATCTCAGCCTTCCACACAACGTGATTCGGGTTTTTTGCACCACTTCGGCCGCTCGTTTCAATGAATACGGGCTGAAATGAATTAGCAGCCCGCCTAAATTTTTCCTTTGAAACCCCCCCTTCAAGTCTCTATCACTATAAAACATTTGTTTCTTACCATAAACAAGATAAAGGCTTTAAAAGGTTTAAATCCAGCAAAATATTAAATTGTTTATTTTTCCTGGCAGCATAATGCCTGTTTGCTATTCATTTCAGGATGTACAACACACCTCCCCCCAAAAATTCCTGTCGTTTACTTTTCGTTATTTTTGTATATTTAGTACATGACTATATCTACTGCATGTTAAAAAACTTTTTTGAAAATATAAGCACATTGACTATATTTCATTAAAGTGAAAAGGCCTTTTTGCAGATGGGTTCAGGAATTCCCATTCCTTATTATACCTAGAAGAAAGCCTTCAATAATTTATATGAATGTACGTGTACATATCTTGTGTTCTTATATAAAACTCCAATTCTTATTCTCTCAATATTTATCACTGATTTTTTTTTTTTTGACGTTTAATCTGGAAATTTTTCTCTCATGTATAGAGACGTCATCGTGCATTTTCCGGTGAAAGGTTCAAAATCCAGGCTTAAACTCGACACTCAGCGCCATTGAGCAGTGAGGGATCCTAATCGTGTCAACGCCGGAACTCGATTTTTTACTCATCCGAAAGATGCTTCAAAGTTCCGAGCACTTGGCAAAGACACAGTTGCTACCTATTTTTCATCAACTAAGGCCAGTCGCGGCTGGAGATCGAACCCACGTCTTTCTGATTATGAAGGTTGATTTAAAACAATGTCACAACTGCTATATAAAATCATTAAAAAGCAAATATCGAAAATTGAAATATTAATTCCCCTACTTATATCCACAACGTTATGTTTTGTAAATCGCTAAAGGCATGAATTTTACCAACTTCGTAATTATGTTACCTTTCAGCACTCATTTTCAGTTCATCTGCTTATCTTATTAACTTCTCGCGTGCTTATGTTGGATAATCTTTACTGTACTTTTGCTAAAAGCCGTCTTATTTGCGTCGTAGTAGCAAAATCAATTGAAATTGACAAAATATTATATCTAAATCCATTCCGTTTTGCGTGAAGCTTGTATATTAACCGGTATACAAGTATGTCTCAAATATCAGATTTAAAATGAGTGTAGGAGGAACGTCATTACGACGACTGTAATTCTTGGCGAGAGATGAGACCAACCGTTGTGATAATTTTAATACTTTTTAAAAGCATTGTATATATATCTGAAAGGACCTTAAGTAGTATAGAGCTGTATGTATTCGATTATGAAAGATTAATTACAGTTTTGATATTACTTTTAAATCAACGCTCAATTTAACTGTCTTTATCAAATGTTAACATGGCGAAACAAGATGTGTTTGTGAAACACTGATGCCCCAATATGGCAAAGGTTAAACTTTTCTTATATGCAAATATAATATATTGGTATTTCTTGATATCTCCAAGGTCAAGGTCAAAAGGTCAAGGTTATATCTAGAAAAGGTCCTGCCACAAAAAAAATACATATGTGAAATACGGAAGCCCTAGCCCTAACCCTTCAACAGTCATGGTTAAGGTTACCAATTTTAAAATGTAGGTCAAACTTCAAGGTCAAGATCAAAGGGTCAATATGTAAAGTATGAATGCACTAGCCCTAACCTTTTTAAAGTTATAGTCAAGGTTTGCTTTTTAAAAGTAGGTCAAACTCCAAAGTCAAAGGGTCAAAGTTCTTGGTATCCAATGAATGGTCTTCTCACAAGGATTACATATGTGAAATATGAAAGCCCTATCCCTTACCGTTCAAAAGTTTTCACAAGGACGGAAATCTTCAAGGTCAAAAGGTCATGGTTGTTGGTATCCAATGAAAGTTCTTTCCACAAAGAATATATATGTGAAGTATAAATGTCCTGGTATCTATTGTTCAAAAGGTATGGTCAAAGAAAAAGTTTGGAATTTTTGTGTAAAAGTGGGTCAAACTCCAAGATCAAGGTCAAAAGGTCAAATTTGGTGATACCCAAAGCAAGGTCGTGTCACAAGGAATACACCTGTGAAATATGAAAGTCATAGCTCTTCTAAATCAAAAGTTATGGGCAAGGTTAAAGTTTTTGCGGACAAACAGAGAGACAGACAGACGGACACGACAAAAACTATATACCCACGAAACTTCGTTTACGGGGTTATAAAAATTCATTTTACTTCATTATAGACAAGTATGTTAACCGTAAACCACACAGACCACTTATTGGCACTTTTCGGAAATATTTAGGGCTGGGTATTGGTCAGAGATTTCGTATTGCGATATTTTAAACTGTATTGCGATATGTATTGCAATATTTTCAACAAAAATTTCTATTTTTTTTATTATATTATCTTTACTTTACATGTAGAATGTACATTACTATGATAAATAACGAAAAGAAAAAAATCTTGTTTTTATGAAAGTTATGCTCTGAAATACACCTTTAAACAAATTAAACAACTTCTATCTTACTGTTTGGCTTAATGAAAGAAAAAGTGAGCAAGCTCACATACCCCACGCTCCCTCAAAACTCAAAGTGCTAAAATCCCCGGAAAAAATAAAGGAATCGGAATTTCCCGTTATATGCACATCTACACATTGTTTTCTAAATATTTGCAAAGTGTGTCGAAATTCTGTACAGCGGTTTAAGAGGAGTTGCGCTGACAAACTGTTCATCTCTATATTCAATGCATGGCCAAAAATCTAAGTTGTTAGTGCGGAAAGTCCCGGAAAAAATAAAGGAATTGGAATTTCCTGGTAATATGCACATCTACACATTGTGTCCTAAATACTAGTACATGTATCTGCAAAGTTTGATGAAATTCTGTGCAGCGGTTTAAGAGGAGTTGCGCTGACAAAAAACAGGACTAACTGACTGAAAACA